TGGTCACACGTCTCTAGTAAAAAGACCAAAAACCAAATTAAGGATAACATTCACCACCTCGCCCGTAAGTCATCCCCAGAAGCAGCCGAGAATGTTGGCACCAAATCAGCTCCATTTATAACCGAGTGATAAAACTATTCCCTGAGTCAGCCAACTCCATGTCATACAAGCAGCCTGCACAAGTAACAAGCAGCCGGTTTCAAGCTGTAACAATGAAGCAGACTAGCTAAAACCGTAAGATACAAAACACAAACATCATGATTCAGAAGCAACTTATTAGAATACTTTAAATGAAAAGAAAGCCAAAAATATTAGTCCACACAACTGTAGAGTCCTGGTCACACGTCTCTAGTAAAAAGACCAAAAACCAATTAAGGATAACATTCACCACCTCAGCCCGTAAGTCATCCACAGAAGCAGCTGAGAATGTTGGCACCAAAATCAGCTCCATTTATAAACCGAAGTGATAAAACTATTCCCTGAGTCAGCCAACTCCCATGTCATACAAGCAGCTGCACAAGTAACAAGCAGCTGGTTTCAAGCTGTACCTTTTATTACATCCCTGAAAGTTGGGATTTACGATCAACCTGAATCATGCTAAGCTGACAAACCTGGAGCAAATGTAACACATGTAGTCTCAAAAAGTTCCTTTCGCTCTCTTATATATATGTGAGAAGTGCAGCAGTGCCTCCACCCAATGAGTGCCCACAATCTACACATAAAGAACATTGAAAAAGAAATCTTAAATTTAGACTGATAAAAGCCAGGTCAAGTGTAATTAAACTTTATACTCGGGATTTTGACGGGCCTAGTAGGCCTATCAAGTTTGTTTAAAGAAAAGGAAGGCCCAGAATTTTTCCCTCTATGAAGTTAAGCCAAGAGGAAGAGCATAATGGGAATACACGGGCCCAATGGCCAAGGACCAAGTTCTGAGCAATTGGAAGGTGTGCGGGTCTTGTAAGTCATAAGTCGCAACAGCATTTTAGCATTGTGTGCTGTGGGAGGAAGTTAAAGAATTAGTATGGCTTTGGTGATAAAAGTCCCTGAGCCCCTGAAAGTCAGGAGTGTCGCGTGTATGAACTTTCGTTTCCATTTTTCAGTTCTGTAATAACTTCAGTGTATAGTCCAGGCATGGTGGTTGGTGATTTTGTCTCTATCTTACTCTTCTCCTATAAAATGCCTGCACCGGCCATTTGCTGGCTGACTAAAATGTGAACATCAAGTTCTTATCAGATTTCAAATTGAAAAACAAGATTTAGCTGTCAAACTAAAATTCTATAATATTCTCATCAACATTGGCCATGCAAAACTAAGTGCACAACGCTGATCAATAGAAACCAATTTTTGAAAAAGGAATCGATGTAATATTCTATCAAATGTGTTCATGTCTGAAAGTTTGATCGGTCAAAAGAATCCTCAGTTTAATGGAATGATGTCAACACGTGACAAGGCAGAAAATACATCTGCAAAATCAGCAAATGCATTGAATTGTTAGAGGGAAAGCATAGTATTAAAGAAAAAAAATATTTACCTTTACTTTATAGCCAGGGTACCGGTCAAGTGCTTCAATAAGACAAGGAATTGCTAGCTTTGCAATCCAACGAGCAGCTGCAACCATCCCACAGTGGGCATAACCTAAAACCACATCACTAACACCCCCCTCATGCACTACCGTATGATGAAAGGGTACGACAGCTCCTGTAGCAGCAGTTAAAGTATCCTTGATACTGTGTGTCCCACGAATCAACAAAAGAAAACATCTTGTCTCATGATCAACTATTATCGTAAAAGCTGGCTTCAAAATCTGCATAACAAATTAACAAAAATTGTATACAAATCATATTGACTTTGAACACTACATAGCTAATCACGTGACAATAAGTACATTTTCATTCAACCATTGCCTAATTTTGGCCATTGGGCAACTAGCTTACTATGCAGTTATCCCCCGCCCTTTCTCCCCAAAACAAGATAAAAAAAGAAAACCCCTCATAAACCAACTATCTCCCTTGGGATCCCATTTCCCCTCTCCCTCTATAAACATAGCCCCAGTCAATTAAATTTTCACCCTCCTTAAAAGGAAGTATGAATAATAACTTTGATAATGCAATGAATATTTCGGTACATAGCAGCGGCATCAAGTTATTAGCAGTTTCCACCAAAAACTTGGACAAAACTTACTCCTGCTTTTGGTTCTTGAAGGAGAACATTCTCTTCACTGTAGCCAGTTTCTTCCAGAAACAAAGGAAATGGCTTCTTTGAAAAATGCCAACAGAGTGTCAGCAGCAATATTACAGATCAGCTTATTCATCTATACGTAAGTTGACACGAAGAACTTACAAATGGAAGAGTCAAAGCTGATATTTTCAGGACCATCATCCCAGAGGATGATATGGAATCAATCTTAACTTCAATGATCATTAAATCACTCAAATCAAGACGAATAATAACATGAAAAATACAAGCAATATGAAAGCGTTTGTATCTCAATAAGGGATTCTCTTTCTACAACGGAAAAAAAAAAAAACAATTTTAATCTAATTTGAATTTATTTGGCCATGGGGGTGTTTGAATACAGGAAAGCAATAAAGCTGAAATCTCACAATTAAAAACCAAAATAAACTAAACCTGATTGATGCAGAAGGAAGAGAAAAAACAAGCCCTATTGAAATAGCAAGTCTTAGACTGGCCCGCCAAACGTTCAGTTATAGTTTTTCCTGAAGATATATGCACCCAGCCAATCTTTAGTATTTTCACATCCTAATAGAATGGCCCATCAAACATTCAGCTCTATTTTTTCCGGGAGATATATGCACCTACCCAGTCTTCAGTAGGGGGAAAACTCTTCACTATTTAGTAGATGAAAACAAGGGGGGAAAAACATTCCTCATTTTTCTCATGAATTCAAGTTGATGACACGGGGACACCAACAAATAAGCATTATTCCTCACCTGCCTCTTCAGAAGAAAACTTATACCAAATGCCAAATCCCCAATCGGCCACTTGCCAAGAGTCTCGGAATAGGTAAATCTAAGAGTCTCTGACAATGTCGATATGGTCTCTAACCATGTAGCAGGGGCTTGTATTAATCTGTGTGAAACACGGTCTATTCCCACAGGTACCATAGTGGATGAATAACTAACATTTTCTTCTTCATCTCCGTTCTCTGTATCTGACTGTAATTTCCGGTTTAGCGTATAGTATAAAAGGGCAGCTGCACCGGCTGCAGTAGCCATGGTTGCAGTAGCCATGACTTTATGATTCCTGCAAGGAAGATGACAAATTAGTGAATTAATAACCAAGTGATTACAGAAAACACAAATGAGGGTGCCACTACATTCCAACTCCAACTCCACTTTTAACTTCCCTAAAAATTTAAGGAACTAGAATGGCTCATCATAAGCAGGGGCTTGAATCATGACAAAATAGAACACCCAAAAAAAAAGTAGAAACTTCGTATCTGACATTTGAATTTAACATTTTCAGTTATCAGCTGTGTTGAAAGCACGGAAGAAAAAACTACGAAGGAAGTGATATGTAACGTACCGGTTAATCAACAAAGCTGAGATGAAAAAAATAAACATAATCAACAGAAAGACAAGAATAAAGAGAATAATGAAATAAAAAGGCTAAAGATACAAACTTTTGAAAACTATCACCCAACAAAATTTGCGTGAACCAGAAGAACGTGAAGCAATTCTGAAACCCAAAACCCTAAACATTCAAAATCACAAAACGGGGAGAAGAAAGACAGAGAGAATTGGGCAAACCTGAAGAAACTGATTTTGGCGGAAACAGGAATAGAGAGGCTGGTCACGAAGTCATCAGAGATTATAGTAAAGCACCTAATATGAATGAGACCTTCTCAAAGTTTCGTTCTGTACTTTTTTTTATTTTTTTGGGTTTTTCAGTTTTTGTGATGAGAAAAGGGGACCCTTTGCGCGGTTTCGTTGATTCTGGATTAAGCAAAAACAGAGGAACAGTTCATTTTGCAATGTTTTCTATTTTGTAAATGGGTAGGGACACGTGTCGCGTAGGGGATAGGGGATGGAGCAGTTGAAGGCTGAAACCGACCTAAAATCTCGTGGAGTACTAAAAACCATACGTTGACGCGAAGAGAAAATGGCACTTTCGGATTTACAGGGGTAACAACCTCAAATTTTGAAAATGAAAATTTAGGAGTAAAGGCCTTTATAAATTATAAGAAAAATATTATCGATCTCTTTTTATCAAAATGCCCTTACTTGAGTTCAATGTTGAATAGTGGGAAACTCCATTTTCAAAGCACTTGTAAGTCCCGTTTTCAAAGTTGTTATAAATTTCTGACAAATTCGTTATGAAGCTTAGAAATGCTAATTTTTAAAAATAATTAAAACGTTAGCTATTCTTATTAGGCCAAAATGTTGTTTCTATCCTTGAAACACGTTGAATATTTAATATTAGTTTGGTGAGTATTCTCTTTTGAAAATCCAAAACTATGAAAAGTTTCAAATGAATTTAAGAAACAAAGTGCTGCTTTCCAAGGAGCAGAATGGTGGCGAGACTAAAAATGTTGCATACATATACATACGTACGTATGTATACAATTCATTTGATCCTTGAATTCTCTTATTGGCTTATTGCTGCTTTGTTATTTTCCATCGAACTACCTGTAGCTCAATCCAGACCCATATTTAGAGGCATCAGTATCAGAAAGACTCTGGTTGGAGGAAGCAGAAGTCTAGACCCGGGCAACAAGATAAATAGATCCATTTCTTACAAACCAACCCCTTGATTTGTTGAAACAACACCTTTTTCAATTAATTAGAGTATTAAATTAGATGACAGATGACTTGGTCCTTTTTTTTTTTTTAAATAAGGGACTGGGTCTTTTTTCCCTTTGAATTCGTGGGTTGTGACTTTTGATGCACACGAGTGAATTTCTCACGAAAATGTCAAACATACTTATCAATTCTTTCTGAATTCCAGCTGCTCATAAGATTTGTTCTTTTCTTTCCATGTTCTCAAATATCACGTTGTGTTTATCTCTTGTTAAAATAGACAAACATAATGTTGACGAACACATGCTGAAATTTCTGACCGAAATACCTGTAGAATTAGTATAGAATATTAAATATATTTGAAGGATCAAAGTAGAACACAGAAAAATCCATGGCATCTTCACTTCGTCCTCTTCGTAGTAACAGATGAAACTTGTAGTGACATCAAGCTGCTTGGGCAACATGGAACCTTGATAGCTAAAATTTAAGCAAATACAAGATAACAGATGAAAATTGTTCCACATCAAGATTGCTTGGAAATCAATCACGCTCACTAATAGCAGTCAGATGTTCATCGATCTCCTCGGTGGATAAAACCCTAAATTTTGGATTTTCCTTTTGCACTACTCCCACCTGCAAAATGCATATTCAACACGTTACTGCCACACCATACGGTCAATCAAATATCAAAGGCAACTCTCACCAGAAAAGCAACCCAAAAAAAAAAAAAAACCTATGGAAATGACACGTATACACAATAACTACAGGCAAGAGATATTCACTTCGTCTAATCTGTATCTTGGCATTGTTAAAACCATAACCATTCACCTAATCCCCACTTTCTCTTTATTCAGTCATCCACCAGATAAAACATTAGAAGCAATAACGCACGAGAGGAACATAAATGTACATACGAAAAGCCACCTGCTATAATGCAAGTGACGAAGAAAAGAATATTAAGTACCTCAATCTCAGTGGCCTTAAAATCCTCCTGAAGAACAGATTGCAGTGCAGATATAGCAGTCTGTTAACGCAACAAAAGCATCATAAAAAACGGATCCCAGCAGAAACAGCAACATAATTCTCTTATAGCCCCAAAAAAAAAAAAAAAGAATTTATTCTCATTACTTTTTAGACATGGTAATGACAAATCTCATTAAGATCATGGCATCTTAAATTATTATAAAGCATGCTTCAAAATCTTGAGAAGAAATTCCTGTTTGTACATTGACTCATCAAATAACAGCTAAAATCCCATATCCACATTGTTGAGGATTGAATTTAATGTTCATAAAACGAAATGGTTATGAGTCTTTATCAAATAAATATGATGAGAACCTAAACCTTGTAACTTCACCATCTCAGTCATACGGTTAGACTGTTGCTAGACCTTTCATATCATCATTCAGACAGATGGAAACAAAACTTCACTCGGTACAGGCTTCATAAGGAAAACATTTAAAACTCATAATTCATCTAAAAATCCACCTATATATTTTCCACTCTTTCAACAGAATCAAGCATATTCAAGTTTGGGAGCACCTCCCAAGCTTCATAAAGCTAGAGGCTATTACAGGGAAGCAAATCTGTGATCAAATAAGAAAAAAAAATTGGAAAAAAAAAAAAGTAGAGAAAAAGGCAAATTGAAACATGGAATTACCAAATTCACACAATGTCAAGTCCCAAGCCTCAATGGACCGCAGAGAGTATATGCAACAACTAATACATCTCAAGAAAATAGACACAAGTTCCCAGTCAAAGCATGGAAGAGATCAACCCAACAGAAGGTAGTTCATTGATAGATCACACTACCTCCAGTTCTAAATATAAGATCTAATTTATAGTGCAATTTAGATCTTCTATTTAGAACCGGAGGTAGTATTAATTAAAGTGTAAAGCAAGCAGTAATTCCAGAGGAGATCAAAGAACTTAAAGTCTATTATGCATAACGGGACCACAAAAACAGGAATTAGAAGGAATCTAATGGTCCATTTGTCAAACAATTCCACATGCCCATTTCAAAACTCAAACCCAAATCATCATAAAATGCAATAATACCTGCACTGTCTCTTCATAGGTAAATGAAGGATCATTCTTCATCTTTTTCTCCAGGAAATTAATTGCCTCTTGCTCCTTTAATCCAGCACTCGTGGCCTAAATACATCATATATCCATCCCAAAAGAAAAATTAAGCTCCCTCCAAGCACATACATGCAAAGAATAAAATCCAAGCCAAAGCATCTATCAATGCGTAATGTAATTTATTTTTAAGTTTGAGATTGTGAGCATAATCATACTAGTGATAATTCTAACAAACCTGTCACTAATGTCTATTGTCTCCACAGTCTAACCCAGGTTTAGAAATTCTCTTTCCTTTATAATAAATAAATAAATTGTTTTCTCTTTCATTAACCATTCCCTTATCATCACTATAATTTAATTCCAGTACATCAACTGCACAGATACAAAATGAACAAACAACTTTGCCAAAGTATAAGCAGAAAATGTAAATCAACTGATGCTACTTTTGCCTCATCTAGCTATATCCATCCTATATATAATAAGGTTTGGTCCTATTCATGGGGATTCTCTAATGACCATTCCGAAAAGAGAAAATTCAAAACAATTGGGATATTTTTGGAAATTGGATGCAGTTACTAATTCATGATTTGGCATGTCCAGAATGAAAACTTCATTCTCGATTCTATGAGAATTTTTATGAAAGCCTTTCATTATAAACTGAGTGCAGGACAATATTATCAATAAGAAATTCCATCATTAGCTCTACAGTACTGAATATATCCTTAGCATATCTTTGTATCTTCTTGTACCACAGTCCACAATATATCCAAATGATCTTGAATGTACCTTGTGACCGAAGTAATGACCAGCTGGATCACATTTATAAAGTCGGGGTCCATATTCTTCATCAATACCCACGACCATAGCAACTTCAAAACGCAACAGAATGGAAATGAAAAAGAAGAAAGCAACATTAATAATGAGAAATTGAAGTAAAATGCAGAGCAAATCACTCTATTCCCTCCAAGAGATGGCTTAATTACACAACTCTCCCCTCTATTATGAAAATACACATAGAACTTCCCTGATACCAAATAAAAACTAAAACATCTTCGACCATAAGATTGTAAGATTATTATTTTTACTATTAAAATAAATAATTAGAAAATGTATTTCTTTGCTTACAATAATTATTTATTTTTTGTCTAAAAAGTTCCAAACTTTGATATTTGGTCAACATGGGTTCAATTGCATCTTATTTTTTGGTTTTACAGGAATCCTATATATTTTTTCATAAGAGAAGAGGGGTGCTCAAGCCATTTTTAAGGGAAGGGCAGAGTATTGGAACTTCAGAAAAGTTAACAATAATAGGCTGATCAAGCTTGTTTGATGATAAAATATTTCACAAAAGAGATTTTTTCCCTCTTTCCAATGAAAAGGATGAAAAACACACCTACTCCAAGCGGTCTCATGTAAGCATGCTGAGTGTAGATCTGTGACTTGTCAGCAATCCTATGAAACAATAGTTTTCCAACAATGGTCAGGTGCACAACATGTACTGGCCATGTGTGAAAATCTAACTCCAATGTTACAATTCAAATAAATTATCCGTGAAAATTATCATAATCAATGTCAAGATCCCGAGTATGAAAAAAGCAATAACTGATTTATTGCATTTTGCAACCACCCATATTCTCCTATGAGAAATCAACCGGGCAGCCAACATAAGGACTAAATTATGTTTTCGGTAAATACTCCAATCACATTAAGGAAATAAGGATAATGTATGACGTCATTGCCAAACTGAGAGCAGCAAAACAATTTGATGTTCCATTATGAAGAAGAGAATCCCGATCATCACACTGCCAATATATGGCACAGTGGATCCACCCCCAGTGTATAAAGAAAAAGGTGACGCCTAACAACTTATAGCTATCCAACAGTAAAACTGCAGTAAAAAATGCTCTCTTTATCTCAAAAAAACGCTGCAATAAAAAAAATCATCCTTTTACTGAAGGTTCTTGAGCAAATAAGAGCAGCCCCGGAAAGCACAAATATTATATTACAAGTGTCCGTGGCATTTTGTGATTTTCATACATCTTATAAACAAATACATCAACTAACATAAACAATCACAACCGCTCCAACCAAAAAATAAATAAATAGATAAAACGCAGCAATTCCTAGTGACAAGGGTGAAAATCAGAACTTGACTATCATTCAATCAGAAGCTCCACAGTTTCAACTTTTTATTGGCACATGGCAACTATTTTGGGGTTTGTCAATCTACCAAGTATGAAGGGAAGCAACAAGAGTTTATGCAAAATCCCAGCACAAAAGATGCCAGTGATTGCAGCAGAAGTTGTGCAGACAACATTTTGCATGTTGTGGAAACCAAAGTACAGAATGGAATCAAACCCCTGATTTAGACACTACATCTTTGAAGGAAACTGGAAATATTCTTACGTACTTCTCTATTGTATAATATGTGAATAACACAAATAAGGGTGCGGGAAACATTTGTTAGCACAACAATAAAATGGCCATATGAATTGCAGAAATTAAACGAATTAATAACTGCAAAGCAGTAGTTACTGATATCTCCTTTATAAGCAAACAATTTACCATTTGGACAACACATCAACAGGCATCTCATATCCATATGTAAAGCGAAACTCAGCAGCTTCATTCCTTGCTTGTTGAACCAACGTCCTAGCATCAGCTGGGAAGTAGCATTATGAAGCAAATGTGAGCTCTGAATGCCAAAATTTCTTTTCTTTCAAGGTATATAATAAAAAAAGACTGAAAATGTTATTTCACACATTAAAGTTCTATTATACAACAAAGAATCATGTCAACATCTCTGAAGCAATTATAAGACGAGTCTGCTCCAAAAGCGACGTTTCCAGTGACATTTTCCAGAACACCCACAACAAACATATTCTGTTGAGAGTGAATTTCAAACACCCCAATTAAATCAGCCTGACCTGTTATCCCAGTTGCCAATAAACCGAGGTACTCTGTGATGGGAAATAGATGTGTAACACTCGTCTGGTCCAAGAGCTTGTCCTGCAGCAAATTATTAATTTCAAGCAACTTTAAGCTCACAGCTTGCATAAATACCGAAAGCAAGCACAAATGACAGGATGCACTCACCGGAACCTTTTTCTGGGTAACAACACATACGGAATCCTTCCCTCGGACGCCAATTGAGGTGATCCCCACAGATTTAACAGCCTTAAAAGCATACTCTATTTTGGCATTTAGAAAACCCACAGTCAATAATTAAGAACCCTTCAGACTAAAATGGATTAAAAAAAAAAAATCAATAACAGAAGTTTAAAGAGAAAAAAATTGAGCTGATATGAAGAGATTCTAACTCGTAAAAGCTTTTGCTTAGCATTGAAAATCTGAAATATGAAGCCCCAGAGCAGAATAAAACTGTAACATGAGTCGGAGACAGGAGAAGTTGCATACCCACTTGAAAGAGACGACCTTCGGGTGAGAAGATAGTAATATGACGATCGTATCCCCCTCCACTTCCTCGACTCATGGTTTAGGGACTTAGGGCAGTGACTTGGCCTAGGTGTTTCTGAACGAATACCACGACTTGAAGTCGAAGTTGGAAAAGAGCGCAGAAATATTTACGCTAAGTTCCGACCTGGATCGCTATTGATAGTAAGCCTAGGCGTCTGGCAGTGGCATGAGCTCCTTCAACAAGAAAAACGGCACCGTTTTGCAGAACTGATAGGCGGCGAGTGGCTCCGGAGAGGAGCCGAAAACAAGCTTGTGGGCTTGTGGTTTTGGAGAGAGGAAAAAAAAGAAAACAGAGAGAGAGAGGGCGAGGGATATGGTGATAAAGTAATAATAGAGCTATTAGTTTTTCTTCTCCAATTAATCACCTATCATTATGTATTTTTTTCTGAACAATGGGATAACTAATACTCTTCTAGTCCTTAATATAGGACCTAATTATTAAGTTGGTCTTGGTTCTAATATAAGACCTATTTATCATATTTATTAATTTTCTCTAAATTACCTATATGGATACTCCCTCAACCACAATCAAATAGAAGATGAAGGGGGTATTAAGTAAGATGATCATGATATTTTAAGAAAAACAAATCCCAGTTCTTATAATTAAGTAACCTATCTAATTTTTTTAATTTAATCAAATTAGTTAAATGAGTCTTATATTAAGGATCTGAGGAATTGTAGGATTTGATCAATATACTCCTCTGATCCTAAATATAAAACCCTTATATAAATATAAGGGTTTTATATTTAGTACTAGAAAAGTAATTTATTTTGAATAGTATGTTTGTTTATATTGACTTTTTGAAGAAAAATTAATATGCAAGTCAGTTTCACCTAATTTTTAATCAGGTTAATGTCTTTTTTTTAAAAAAATATTTATAATGTTTTCACTTTTTTATTCATGCCGTTGGGCCTCAGTCACGTCTGATATAATCATCTGGATTCTCAAGAAAAACAGCCTTTTGAGTTAAAGGCTTCAGTCCATACATTGCCCCAGTTCACTTAGGTTCAGAAACGGCTTCCCTTCAGTCCATACATTGCCCCAGTTCACTTAGGCTCAGGAGGGGCTTCCTTTCAGTCCATACATTGCCCCAATTCACTTAGGCTCAGGAGGGGCTTCCTCCTGGCTTCGATGTTTACGTGAACCAATATTTTAAAAGCCGGACTGGACGTCGAATCGGAAAAACTAGCAGGTCACGGTTCAAACGGTCAAATCGGTTAGACCGTTCGGTTGAACCGGTGATGTAATAATTAAATAAAATATAATATTATAAGAAATATTATATATATAAGATAAAAAATATATGTGTAAGAAATAAAATATCAAATTATTAAAACAATTTTTAAAAATTAAATAGTCTAAATATATATATTTAACTTTATATTAATGATTTTATATTTTGGGAAAAAATCATTTTATATTAAAACATCTAAATAAATTTTATATAACAATAAAATTAAAAATAAAAACATGAATAATAAATGAAAAACAAACAAATGTATAAATAATATTATAAACGCGTATGGTGCAATACTGTTTTCAACCTTCAAAATGGGATAATTTATCAATTTTTTAATACAAAAAAATAAATATAAATTATTAAAAATTAAGAAAGGTAAAAATTAGATAGGGCACAGCTACAATAACTTGTCGATTAATATAAAACATATAGGTTGTCAGGCATAATGGGGTGTGGGAAAACGAGAAAAGGCAGAGACCATAATTTTTTAAAAAAAAAAAAATATCAATGCCAACTTGCATTGGAGCAGTCTGGCTCATTTACTGAGAAAACACGTTATCTCACTTCTTCCTTCTCATCTCAGAAAGCTCCAACCTCCGGCTGAAAGCGTCCAATTCGTTTGAGGTCAAGGCCGCGATTGCAAACAGCAAAGAACTATAGATGAAGGCCTGAAGTATTTTATTTCTTTTTCTCATGTATGATTTTCGTTATAAATTAGATCTGTCTGTGGATAAATATGTATTTGCTTTGATATTCCTTTCTTTCTCCCTCTTCTTCTCCTTCTTCTTCACACTCCGTTTGTTCCTTTTGGCTCATGCTCAACCCGGATGGTTTTTCATTACCCGCTCCGGTTCCCGGTCCAAATCCCAGCTCTAACTAGTTGAATCCGGTCTGACCATGAGAACGAGCTAATGGTGTGAGACGGCCCACTCTCTCCTCTGGGCGACGGTTTGACCGATCGGACCATCCGGTCTGGTCCGGGCCTGAAAACATTGATGTGAGCGCACTGTGACAAAATCAATGCATTGTAGCTAACAAGCTGGTGTGTATCAAGAAAACAAGAGTTGGTTTAGGATCAGTTTGGATTAGCAGTAAAAAAAAATAACTTATTTTTAATCTGAGTTTTTGAAAGATAAGATTAGGTAATGTGATTTGTGTTTGAATTGAATTTTATAAAAGTTAGTTTGTAAAGTAGAAAAATTGTTTGGATTATGAGGGCGTACTCATCTCATCTTATTTATAAGACACTTTTAATATATTTCACACATATTAAGAAAAATCTTAAACTATCTTAATTTTTTTAAAAAATGTAACAATTTTTAACTTTATCTCTATTTAATATATATACTTCAAAAATAATCATTTACACTATAATAAATGAAAGATAAAATAGCACATTTATATTAAAAATTTAAAGAGGTGACTTGTAAATAAGGTTAAGAAAAACCTTCTCTTTTTGACTTATAAATAAAATTAGAGGATTATTTGAAATCAAAAGTGTATTTGTAACCTATTTATTACTCTCAATTAATTTTAACTAATTTTTTATTATTCATAAATTAATTATGTCAGGTTTATAAGAAGAATTAGAAGGAGTACAGTTTCCTTAAAGGTGGAACCCAACTTGTTTTTAACTTCTCTCCGCCTTTTAACGCTCCTCACTTTTCTCTCTTCATAGTTGAAAAGTATAAGTAACAAATTTTTACTTTTGACTTATCCTGGCTTTTAATCGAAAACCACAATCTCCTTAAAGCTAATACGAACAACCAGATTTCATCAATGGCACAGCTTGTCGTTTATATCGCACAATTACCTCCTAAAATACCCTGACGAACAGGTCTTTAATTGGCAAAGAATTGGCTCATAACTCAAAAGGTCATGAGTTGAAATCCTACTATCTATATGAGAACCTTGTCAGTGGGTGTTTTGTATGCACTTTCTAGACTTGAAGGCCTATCTTAACCTCTTGGGCTTTCAGAATCCAACTCATCTAAATTTTTTCAATTAAAAAAAAAACAATCAATGAAGCTGGCAACATGAAACGCAAGCCAAAAACATACCGGTGATGAATAATATAATTCATTATTAAAATGATTGGAATATGAAATAATATTTAATTATAATTTTAAAATATTTTGAATATTTAATACTATCAAATAATATTTGGTTTTATTTTTTATTATTTATTATCATTTGTATTTAATTTTATAATTTATAATTTTAGAATATTCTCTCCTTAATTACTAAAGTTAAAATGAGGTTATAAATAGCTTTCAACACATGTCGTATTAAAGACGCCTTATAAGTTAAATAAATTGAGCTTTTAAGTTCTCTCTCTGAGGCTTTCTTATTTGTCTCATTTCCCCTCCTTTTTGCATTCTCACTCTTCTCTCTAATCTCTATTTCTCTTCTCCATTATGTCTTCTCTTCTTTTTCCGTCTCACATCACAAACTAATTGAGGATGTTTTTAGTTAAGATAAACGATTAAACATCCATTCCGGTGGCAAAACAAAAGCAGAGTGAAAAACCATTGCCTGTTTAGCAACAAACAAGGCCTTAATCATGTGGTATATATTGCAGAAGTTACTCGGCATAAAAAATTTAAAACGGAGATATACTATAACTGATTCATTAAAATTCACGTGGCTCCCCATTTCTTGAGCTCAAAAGTTGCAACTAAGCATCTTGGTATATATAAACCTCATTCTTTCTAGGACGTGCCCATCCATCTCCATCGACGACCCTTTTTATTTTAGTTTATTCCTTAACCATCTTCCTGACCAACTCCCTCACATCATTCCTCATTCCTATTTTTCACTTTTAATCATTCTCTTACTTTATTTCTTACTCTTCCTTTTGCTAATTTTAAGGATAAATACACACACACAGGGCCAGCGTCTAACACATACACAAGAGAGGTATTTAATCCACACACACACACACACAAAACTCTCCGATTTGCAGTGGGGATGTTGAGATTTAGATTCAGCAAGTGAGGGTAATAGTTCATTTGTATTATATGTTCATAATTAAATAGATATTGCGAATGATATATGAGGAGCTAAAACATATTATGATTTTAGTAATTTCATTAAATTGCTAATTCATTATTAAAATGAACTCTTAATATCTCTTGCCAACTTTTTGATCTTTCGCATCTTAATGAACACAAATCCCAATTTGTGTGAGTAGTCCAAAAGAGATGTGTCTGCTATTGGGAAGTTTAAGGGATTAATGTTGCACAATCGCTCTTACGTGTAGCTTTTATTATTTACACGATTTCCTTCGAGGCACAATATACAAGAGCGAATATAGTGCTTTTTTTTCCCATGATTAGCTGATTAAATCAAATCTAAGTATTGTTAGGTTTACTTGGAGATAAACGTTTTCTATATTTACACAAACTCAAATTCAAATTTCATATTTAAGAGGCCAAAATCTCTTATACTATGAGTAATATTTGTTGGTTAAATTGTACTTGTTTCGCCATTTGACCCAATTATGAATGGTTAAGTTTTGACATTTTATAAAATATTTTTTAAACTATAGATATGAATTATTTACATTAAGTTTTGACAAATGAAATTTATGTATTTATTTTCATTTTTTACATTTTAATAATAATTTTGTAAAATGTTAAATCCTAGTCATTCATTCAAAATTTGATTTTAAGGGTTGAGAGCATAAATAACATGTAGGAAGAAAGTGGAGCAGGGGGAAGAGAAGTCAAATCCCCCTTTTCAACATAAGAAATCTATCTCTTTCCAATCATTGTTATGTTTTTTATTTAATCAAAAGTAATTACTTTTGATGTTTAAAACATAAAGTTTTTACTTCTGTATTTTTTAAGATTCGAATTTATATTTTTTTATTTATGAAAGTGAAGCTACTTACCACTTTAACTAACAATTTTAAATTATTGTTATTATTATTGGACTCAATACTTAAGCTAATGAATGTTGG